AACCCTAGAGAAGGCGATCGCCATTTCCTTGGCGGCGAAGCGGGGGAGCAGGCAGCCATGCCCGCCATGGCGCGACAAGGGCAGGAGCTCATCGACCTCGACAGCGATGCCGAAGACGGTGAGACGTTCCGCCACCCCGTCCCCCCAAAATCTCCCCTTTCCCTCCGCTGTGCTGCGCCTGGTGTTTCGGGCCATGTGCTGTGACGCTCGGGGTGCTCTGCTTGATGTGCTGGCGCGGTGGAGGTGTGGTTGGGTTGGCTGCTGCACGGCTACGCTGCGCTTTGGATTGTCTGTTGGTTGTCTGGTGCCTGATTCATTGTTCTGTGCGGGTTTAGGAGTGAATGCTGGCTTCTTCTTGAGACTGGCAGAAATTAAGAGGGTTTCGTAGGTGTATTTCGCCTCAGATTTTGGTCTACATCCTCTCCGGGCGTTGCTGTATGTCTGGAACAGATTATTGCGTCATGGTCGGTCTTCTGGAAATGTACAGGGTTCCTGGGTGTGCCTCCATACTCTCTTATACAGAACCTGTAATCCTATATATGTGCTGTTGTCGATCTTTCTTTTAATTATTGTCTAAAACAGGGGTGGATTTAAGAGTGATAATCATCAGTGTATCTGGTGTTTAAAATGTGATCATTAGTCTTTGTTTTCTCTTGGGTCAACAACACATTAGACTTGGATTTTGAAAATTCATTTCTGTCAAGTGACAACACCAAGGGTCCCTTTCTCTTTGTTGTGACTAGTGTTTGAACAAGTGATGGAGACACGGATGACTTCCCGATTAGGATAGGACTACATCAAGGATCAGCTTTGAGCCCTTATCTGTTTGCCTTAGTGATGGATGAGGTCACAAGGGACATACAAGGGGACATCTCTTGGTGTATGCTTTTCGCGGACGATGTAATGCTAGTTGATGAAAGCCGGACAGGAGTGAATCAGAAACTGGAGTTATGGCGGGAGACTTTGGAGTCCAAAGGTTTTAGACTCAGTAGAACTAAAATTGAGTATATGAGATGTGACTTCGGCACTACTACTCGGGAGGAGGAAGATATTAGTTTGGAAGGTCAAGTAGTGCCTAGGAAGGATACCTTTCGATATTTAGGATCAATGATACAGAGAGACGGGGATATTGATAAAGATGTTAGCCATAGAATCAAAGCAGGGTGGATGAAGTGGCGCCAAGCATCTGGTGTCCTATGTGACAAAAATGTACCACAGAAGCTAAAAGGCAAGTTTTATAGGACGACGATTAGACCTGCTATGTTGTATGGTGCAGAATGTTGGCCTACGAAAAGACGACATGTTCAACAGATAAGTGTCGTGGAAATGCGTATGTTGCGTTGGATTTGCGGTCATACAAGAAGGGATCGAGTTCGGAACGATGATATACGTAATAGATCAGGTGTAGCATCAATTGAAGAAAAGCTTGTCCAACACCAGTTGAGATGGTTTGGACATGTCCAACGGAAACCTCCAGAGGCACCGGTGCGCAGTGAAATCCTAAGCCAGGATAGTAACGTGAAGAGAGACAGAGGAAGACCGAAGTTGACTTGGGTAGAGGCAATAAAAGGAGACTTGAAAGGATGGAATATACCCAAAGACTTAAGCCTTATATAGGAGTGCTTGGAAAACAGTTATTCACGTGCCTAAACCTTGATTGCTTCTGCTGGGTTTCAACTCTAGCCTACCCCAACTTGTTTGGGACTTAAAGGCTTTGTTGTTGTTGTTGTTGCTGCTGCTGCTGCAAGTGACAACACCGAAATGGTCTAGTTCCACCCCTAGTGTAAAAAGGAGAGGATTTAGTGCAAAGCATGTGTGGTGCTGCTTGCTGCCTTTTACAGTATCTCTTGCTCTTTATCGAAGTCGATAAAGCGCATACAGCTTGCATAATCTTTTTATAAAGGTTCATTTCTGCACCTTTCCTCTCAGCAGCGTTTGTTCTTGTCATGATTGGACATTGTGGAATCATGCTAATCATTTGGTGTATGGTTCAATTTTGTCATCTGGTGCTTGTATATGTTAATCATTTAGTGCACGGAGCATCGCTGCTGCTGTTGTTTTAAGGGACAATTGTCTGTTGGATATCCAAAGTGATGGTCCTTCGCTGGCGGACACCCACTTTGGAGCATTTTGCCAGAAGACACTCTGGTTCGGTGAAATTAGGCCACAGGACACCGTGGACTGATTGTAGCCGGTTGAGGAGAGAGAACAGTGGTGAAATGACATTCTTGCCCCTGCCGCTTTCTTCTTCCTCTCTCCCTTTCTCTTTTTTTCTGTTTCCTGTTCTACGATGGCGCCAGCGGCGGGGCAACGCGGGGGGCAGCAAGACAAGGAGTGCATGCGCAACCACGCGGCGGCCATGGGCGGGCAGGCCTTCGACGGCTGCGGCAAGTACATGGCCTCCTTGCCGAACTCGCTCAAGTGTGCGGCTGCGGGTGCCACCGCCCCGCCGGCCGTCGGCGCGCGTCGTCTTTTCTTCTTCCGCTTCGACGCTGCGCCGCTTTCGCTGGTTTGGTCATTGACGCCAAGCCAGCGAAGAAGAAGATTTCCACCACCACCACCTCCACTGCCACGGCCGCCATGGCGCAGTTTTGTTCCGTCGTCGGCTGCGCCGGTGCGGCCACAAGACTCGCGACAAACCGCACCACGCCAGTGCCCGCCATCGTCGCCGCCGCCTCGCTTCGTGGTCGACACGCCGCCGGGCTTCGAGACGCGCCGCGCATGCGACGACTTTCGGCATTGGCGTCGGTTTCGTGCCCGGAGCGTCCGGGGTAGCGAAGGCGTAGCGGCTTTTTGGCGGAAGCGGTTCCCACCAAGTTCACACCGAGCGGAAGGAGCGGATCGCGAGTTCGTGGAGAAGCGGGTGGCGCATCCAATGAACAACGACGGCGCCTGGACCGCTTCTGCGACGAGATCGGGGTCAAGCGCCAGGTGCTCAAGGTGTGGATGCACAACCACAAGAACCAGCTCGCCTCTACCTCCGCCGCTGCCGCAGACACAGGCGTCGGCAATCGGCATGCCCGCACCTGCACCTCCAGTTCGTTGCTTCACCGGCGGCCAGGCACTCGTGCTGTCGCCGCGGGCATTGGCATGTCACTCACAACTTGACGTGATTTATTTACCTTTTGGTTTGCTTGGTAGGAGACCGATCGTTCCTCCTCCTCATTGCTTGCTTGAACTGCGGGGACAGGAAATAGAAAAAAGAGAAAGGGAGAGAAGAAGAAAAGCGGCAGGGGCAAGAATGTCATTTCACCGCTGTTCTCTCTCCTCAACCGGCTGCAACCGGTCCGCGGTGTACTGTGGCCTAATTTCACCGTACCAGAGTGTCTTCTGGCAAATGCTCTAAAGTGGGTGTCCGCCAGCGAAGGACCATCACTTTGGATGTCCAACAGACAATTGTCCCTTGTTTTAATGTGTTTCTTACGGTTTCCATGCATCTTGCACCCCTAAATGTGCCTGCTTTATAGTACATGTACCACATAATTTGCCGCAGCATGGTCACATAATCAAAATAGACCATCAAGGACTAAGCATCCTCAGGCCACAGTTACCTCTCACAGCTATTAAGAATTAAAACATTAAGTTTGAGTTCATAGTTCGTTTTCTTTTATATCTTGGTATAATAGCTTACAAGATTTGGTCATCTACCCTATTTTTTTTCCCTTTTCAACTCCCTTTTCTTTTGGAGAATTAGGCCCTACTTGGTGTAACAGTGAAGTTCGAGGATGTTAGTTTTCACAGTTAGTTGCCTGTCCTCTATTCTAAGGGTGTAATTGCTGCCTATTAGTTTATTGGTTCCTCTTTTTTTTAGCACATTCAAGAAAGGTGGCTAAATTACCGATTCCCCTAATTTGGATGCAGCACAAGCCATAAAGTGTTCTTGGGCTGGCCTATTGCAACCTTGTGGGTTACAAATATATATAGCTATGTATAAAGGTCTAAGTTTGAACACACACACAGGGGGAGACCCCAGGTGGTACACCGATGGGGAGAACCCAGGCGGCACGTGTGCATGCATTTATGCATAGATAGGGAGACGAGTGTTGTGTGAATGCATATCTCTAACAGGTATACTATGAAAATACATACCTTGATGAATCCAATGATACTTATCAAGTATCATAAATGTTAATACTTTTATATGGTTTGATTTGATTGATTGACTTGGTACTATGCTTGAATTGTATTCTTTTCAGGGCAGATGGAGTAGGTTGTATTGTATTATTGATTGGTTTATTACCAGTTTGTATATTAATTTCTAGATACTCCAGCATGATCTGCTACTGACATGTTATATATATGAAAGTCACCCCCCCTAGTTGGGTGTGAGGTGTTCCCTTAATTCTCTACATCTAATTCTCTACACATACCAAAGGGCCAACAGAATGGCCCCCAGAATGGAATTGACAAGTATGGATAGCACTCTTGTAATGCAAGGTTGCAAAGATGAAACAAGAAATAAATCCGGAGCAAAAGTAGAATGCCAAAAGAAAGGATTAGTTGTTTTCCTTGATTTCAAACCGAGTTTTACCATTATCTCTGAATAACTTGATCTGTTAGAGGCCTTCAAAGAATCTGCCTAAACATGATGCCTTGTTTGCCTTTTTGGCTTGATGCCATCTTATTTTCTCTTGGCTGTTTCCTAAAGACTAACAAAACATTTGAGAAAGCAAATTTATTGCTTGTGGTTCCAAATTTATTGCTTAAGGTTTCACTTAGGTGACAAAGCACTTAAGGGGATCTCGAGATGGAGACAGGAGGGACAGAAGTTTAAAGAGGAAGAAAACAGCCAAAGAATGCCAATCAAATGACCGCACTCCATCAAGTTGCTGAGTATGAGTGTATTAGGCCCATGAGGCCCATGTATGACCAATATACATTGCTACCCTTCTAGGGTTAGCCCATGGACAGAAACTGAACTCTAGCATGGTATCAGACTAGGCTTTCTTCCTCCCTTCCCCACCTGGCCAGCAGCGCCACCGGGCGTCCTTGTTGCCGCCATGGTCGGCCGCCTCCTCCTCCCCAACCTACTTCCAGCTTTCCCCTCCCTTCCCTTTGGGGTCTTGGGCCACATGCAAGGCGCTGGCCTCCTGTCATGTGACGACGCTGATGGCCTTGGCCACCCATGTTGTGTCGGCCGCTGGGCATGGCGCGTGGTGCATGCCAGCTTAAGCGCAGGTGCTCCAATGTCTTGGCGGCCTCATTGTCATGGTAAGTGGCGCAAGAAGCCCCCTTGGGGCGTGGCGCGGCCCTCACAATGGCGCGGGCAAGAACGGTTCGGCTGGCTTGGGCGGCAGCAGCTGTGCTTCTGGTCATGCCACAGCGGGCAGCAAGACATGCGCTTCGCTGGGGCGCGGGGAGAACTCGAGCCTTTCTTCTTCCCCGCCTCTCTCCTTCTCCCTCTCCCTCTCCACGGTGAGGGCTAACTCCGCTCTCCGCCGCTCTCGTGGTACACGACGCTCATTTCGACAACCAGTTCGTCGGCGGCGGGCCCTCGCTTTGCGCTTGCGCCTGACAACGATGCCTCTGCCCGCCAATCAGGATCAGTGGAGGCGGAGCGGCTTCTCGTCCTCCCTACATCCCTACGACACATGGCCACCTCCTCAGCTCGACGGTCACCGCTGCCTCACACACACACGGTCATCCGCACGACCCGGCCGACCAAGACGTCGCCAAATTTCCACTACCATGTCCAGAACATCCGACTCCTCGTCCCGTCGTTCTCGAACCGGAGTCGCCTCTTACGCCCACCGAGGGACTCGTTCTCTCTCACCCTCCGCCGCCACGCCCTCGACGACCACGTCCCTAGTCGACGCCTTGGTCCTTGTCATCGTGTGGCTGCGCTGGGCCGGCGTCGTCCTCTCCTCGATCATCGGGGCGATCTCCTCGACCTCCACGACCTCGTCCGCCTTCTCTGCTGACGCTTCGCGGGCTTCGCTTGCGCTCGAGGCGCTTTAAGGGCAATGCCGGGCCCGGCCTGCGTCTCGTCGCGAAGCTTCGCACCTTCGTCCGTGGTGACCTCTCCATATGCATTCACGCGGCGATGAAGAGCATGGCGGACTCCTCGGCGACCTTTGGCTAGCCCGTGGAGGACCGTGATCATCCTCAATGTCCTCCGCACTCGGTGATCGCTTACCTCTCCGGGCGTGGATCACCCGGCAGAGGCCCTTTTCCTTCCTGCAGTCCGTGACGACCTTGTCATGGAGGAGCTCACTCGGCGTCCCACCAGTGGTCCACCTCCACGCCAGGTCCTCGTCTTCCTCGATCGCCTGCCGCTTCTCTCCGGCTGGCGTTCCCTCGCTCCACCGCTGTCTGCCGCTTCTTGTTCTCCTCCCCCGGGCGGGCGGGGTGGGGGGGCCGCGGCGGCTTGCCATGGGGGCATGCGGAAGCCACCACACACACAGGCAACAAGACACACCGGCAGGCCGCCATGACTCCACGGGTGCACCGCGCCCTCCTTCCACAACCCGTGGTCGGGCGCATCTCCATGTGGCCCTTCCTGGCTCCAAAGTGAGAGCCTCGCCCACCGCAGCCTTTGCTCACTGGAGCTCCTCCGGGGTTTCACTCCCCGCCTCACAGGCTCCCCCTCCCACAAGATCTTCGTGGGTGCCACCTCCCGACACCTTGCCCGGCTCATTGTTGGAACCCGTGCCTTGGCGAGATCCTTCAAGACCATGGCTCTGGACACACTTTCTGGTAATCGACTTGGATTGCCGATCGGGTGCCACTTACCACACTACCTCCACCACTGTATACTCTCTTCTATTCACCCTCCTTCTTCCTCTCATCCTTCGTCCATCATGGTCGCGAATGGTTCGTGTATTCCGATTACGTCTGTGGTGCCGCCGCACTCATGGTTCCTTTCGCCTTCCTCGACATTCTTGTTGCACCCTCTATGGTTCACAACCTTCTTTCTATTCGCTGCTTTTTACAAATTGACAATTCTTGTTCTGCTGAATTTGACTCTTCCGGTCTTCTCAGAAGGATTTGGCTTCCGGCATCCTCTTCTCCGATGTGACAAAGACGGGACCCCTTTACACCTTCTTTCGTTTCCTAAGGCTCCGCTTCCTCTTCGTCGCCGCTACTTTGTCACCGCCTTCGCCGCCACTCCTTCCACCACTTGGCACCGCCGCCTTTGGCCATCCCGGACGTGATGCTCGACGCAGCCTTAGTCGCAGCTTCCGACATTGGTTGTACTCGCTCACGATGAGCACTTGTGTCATGCGTGCACCCGGGCCGTCATGTTCGTCTCCTTTTGTTCTTCTTCTTCTTCACATGCTACGCATGTGTTTGATCTTAACCACCTGCGACCTATGGACATCTCCTGTCACATCGCATTTCGGTATAAATACTATCTTGTGGTGGTTGACGATTTCTCGCATTATTCGTGGACTTTCCCTTTGCGTGCGAAAGTCGGATACCTTCACCACTCTTCTCCACTTTTTTCGCTGGGTGTTCACTCGATTCGGCCTCACCATCAAGGCCGTCGGTGTGACAATGGCCGTGAGTTCGATAACGGCACCTCCCGTGCCTTCTTCCTCTCTCTCACGGTGTCCATTGCGCGCATGTCTTGCCCGATACCTCCTCCCGTAACGGCAAGGCCGAGCGCATGATTCGCACCACGAACGACACCATGCGCACCTCTTCGCTCCCGAGCGCCGCTACTGCCGCTTCGTGTGAGTCTGCACACCTCCACCTATCTCCTTAACCGCCTTCCTTCCGTCAGCTAAGTATGACCACCTTCGTGTCTTGGTGTGCGTTACCCTAACACCAATGCCACCGCCTCCCCACAAGTCGCTCCCCGCTCCGCTCTGTGTGTCTTCCTTGGGTACTCCCGGATCACAAGGTACCTGCTTTGACCTCACCTCCCGTCGGGTCATCATCTCTCGCCATGTGGTGTTTGATGAGTCTGTCTTCCCTTCTCCACCACCAACACACCATCTCCCACCCCGATCCGGACCCCTTCTCTGCTTTCCCATCGACACGGTGGTCCAACCACTTTACACTGCCTCCTGCAGTATCGCTTCCCGTGCCCTCGCCGCCCGGGCCCGCCCGCCCACCTGAACCCACCACGCTTCGCCCTGCGCCTGCCCGGGTCCGGGGCGCGCCCTCGAGTGCTTCTCCTCGCCTTATGGTCCGCAGCTGGGTCCGGGCCCGCTGTTTCGCACCTCTCCTGCGCGTTGATTGATTGACTGGGTACTATGCCCTTCTCCACTGAACCACCGGTGGCCCTTTCTCCGCCGGCGACCCTACACTGGCCGGCCGCCAGTTGCCAGATGTCCGGTGTACCACCCGTTCACCGACACCCGCGTTGTATGGTGACGCGACACGCTTGATTGCCCGACGACCCGCAGATCTCTCCCCGCATTCTTCCGCGTTCGCGGCGCCTTGTCCGGACCCTCATTGGCGCCACCGCGATGGAAGAGGAGTACGCTTTCTCCTCGCCAACCGTGAGACATGGGATCTGGTGCCCGTCCCACCGGATCCAACGTCAGGAAGTGGATCATGATTCCTTGAGAGGTACAAGGCTACTCCGGGTTTCACATGAGTCGATATGAGACTTTCACTTTGCAGTCACCACCCTAGTTGGGTGGCCCGCGACGTCAAAATGCCTTTCTCCACGGGACTCTCACCGATTCTCTCTACACCATCTCTTCTCGTCCGGACATGGTCTCTACTCAACAAGTCTCTCTACCTCAGTGGTATTCTCAACAGGAGGCCAATCGAGCCCCATCTATCACCATGGAGCCGAGAATTTGATGATATTGTCCTCATGGATAGCATGAAGGATCTTGGTGTGCTCCACCACTTCCTCGTAAGCCTCTGCCTTCACTGCAAAGGCAAGACACTGAAATATCAAGATGATAAAAGCCCCCTGGAGACAAAAGTAGGTCATGCCAAAAGAAAGGATTAGTGCCCTTGTTTTCACCTTCACCAGGGCCGACATCACCTTCAAACCAGATATGCCTTTGATCCCCGAGAGCCTCACCATTATCGCCTGAATACTACGGCTTACTTACTTCTTCTTTCCTCCACCGATCTGTTACACCGAGCCGACCTTCCGGACACTCGGCGGTCTACCTCCGGCTCTGCCTCTTTCGGGCGGCAACATGATGCCTTCTCCCGATCCAAAGGCCGAGCCTTTTGGCTTGATGCCAGGCCTCTTATTTTCTCTTGGCTGCTTTCTCTCAAGACTAACAAAACATACCTCTCCCAACCCCATGAGGACCAAGCATGTGGAGATCGACCCCTACACTTTGTCCGTTCGGGTTGCCATCGTTTCAAATTTACCACCTCCCGGTTTGCGAGGTCTTCACCAAGGGCCTCCCGTCATCGACCTTCACCGACAAAGCACAACATCATTGGGGATCTGAGATGGAGACATGTCCAGGGGACAGAAGTTTTCAGAAGAGGAAGAAATTAGGCCCATGAGGCCCATGTATGACCAATATACATTGCTACCCTTCTAGGGTTAGCCCATGGACAGAAACTGAACTCTAGCACATACCAATCAGATCAGGTGCCAGTGGCTCTTGCAGCACACTGTCCAGTCAGCTGCCAGCAGCAGATCATGAAGCTGCAGTGGCATTGTATCTGAGGGGGCAGTGAAGTGAGGTGGAGCAGGTACTCGCAGGTCAACAATGGGAGTGCAAATGATAGGAACACGGCCCTGCAGATGAGAACAAGGGGAGAGGCACAAATCAAGTCTGGGAGCATGCTCCATGAACTTGCAACTATGGGTGAGAAAGGTTTAGGTGGGCAGTAGAATTTGTGTGTGTTGGGGAGGTTGGGCGGATGGGACAGTGCAACTCACCCCCTTTTTTTGTCTTTGTTTTTTCTCTCCTATTTGCTGTCGATCTGCTGTTTCACACTCTGGTACAGTGTCGGGTTTCCCCAAAAGTACTTAGTTTGTAAAGAGGTGAGTTGCCATGCCTCATTTTGCCATACCACCTTAAGAACCCTGTGTGGTGTACCAATGGCAGAGCCACTTACACATTATGCAAAGTAAATGCTAAGTGATGGATTGGTAGCTACACTTTTGCAACAGTAACTGCAAACTTAGAACATGGTTGACAAAATAAATTATGCATGTGTATTTGAGTTTTAAGTGAATGGGCCGGCAGCCTACTAGCCTAGTGGTCATAGTGCCTTAGTAGCACCCATCAGGTCCAGGTTTGAGTCCCTGTGGGAGTGGATTCTTGGGGTTGGGTTAGTAATTCCCCTCGTCGCTATTGCAGTGAAATATGTGGTCCACTGACTGAGAAGTATGCGTCGCAGGCACATCCTGGCAGTTAGTCACATATCCTGGTAGTTGGGTTCAGGCCGTTTTCTTGATCCTGCAGACGAGTTAGTTCGTCTTAGTGCAACACCCGGGGGAGGTCTTTCCCCAGGCTTTTTCTTATTCTAGTTCTGATGGAATTTCTGTGTCCATTTGTAGAGTGTCAGAGCAAGTGTTCTCGAACAAGTAGAACAACAACATTGAAGACATCTGGGAGATCCAAAAATGTATTACCTTCCTTTTATGCTAACCTCCCACAGAGAAGAGTCTCATGCCATGGAACTAGCAGGAGGAACGAGGCAAATCAAGACAAGCTGAATACTGATATTTTTGAATTATACATGGAGTATGTGGTGCTGGTTGTTTCTACTTCTCCTGTTAGTTGGTCTTCTGAAGAAATTTGTATTCTTATTGCTGCAATGACTTCTTGCACAGGGATCTTTGGAAGCACATTGATCAAGATAAGAAGAGTGCTTATGGGTACTTGGATTCCTTATGGTTTAACATGTATTACCATGGGAGTAATAAACCCAATGTCCTTAAATGGATAAAGTCTAAGAGAATATTTTCAAGACAATATGTGTTCGTTCCTATTGTTTGTTTGTGAGTTACTCTCATTATTACCTTGTGTATTCACTCAATCAACTGTCAGATATGTATCAAATTTTCACCTTTCTTTTTTATGGCAGTGGACACTGGAGCCTCCTTGTCTTATGCCACTTTGATGATGCAAACTGCTCAGATATTAAGAAAGGACCACGGATGATAGTGCTGGACTCACTCAATACGATAGATCCGACAAGGTTGCAATCAGCAATCAGAAAGTATGCTCCTCTAATCCTCCCTTTCTGAACTTCCAAATAATAATTGCAATATCTGTTTGAGAATATTATAGATATTTTGATTTGGTGTGGTTATGCCTACTGGCTTCATCATTATGTTTGTTCAAGAAGCATGATTCAAATATTGAAAACAGCTTTGCTATTCTTTTGGATCTTTTTTGTTTTGCCATTTTTGTTTCTTACAAACAGACCAAGAGGTGTCATGTCTTCCTGTTGTCTGTTGTCTCATGCAAATTATTCCATAATGATATACCTCTGAAACTGAAAACTAGTGAGCCTTCTATGGCGATGGCTGAATTGTAGATATAAAAAATGTGAGCATGATAACAAACTCACAGATTAAGCCACATCAAATCCAAACATTGCTGCATCATATCCCAATTATCTGACCCTTAACAAAATAGTTTTGGACTTTTTTGTATTTGCTTAGATGACCTCAGCCATTTTTTTTACATACTAAATTTTGCTTAGAATGGCCCCGTTCGGCTTACCTTATAATCCGCACTATTCAGCTTGTTTTTTCAGCCGGAACAGTGTTTTTCTCTCGCAACAAATCAGCCAGAACAGTATTTTTCAGCCAATTCAACCAAGTTTCAACAAGCCGAACGGAGCGGGAAGAAAGCAAGCAGTTCATAAACAAAATCCCCCTCAAGTTTCCCAAGGTATTCCTTTGGCATCTTCTTACCCATTATATCATTGTTTCTAAATCTTAGACTTCTTATGGTACTCTCTTCAACAACTTTGCAGGTGCCACAGAAAAATGGGGATGAATGTGGAATTTATGTTCTTTATTTCATCCACTGTTTTCTACAAAACAAAGAACTGGCAGAAGTTCTTGAAAACAAAAGATTGGAAGAAGATTTCACCCAGCTGGTGTGTCATCTGTTTCTGCCTTTATACCTCTTCTTTTACTGCCTTTTCAAATGTTTAACTAATCTGTTTTAACAATGTGGCTTAGCTTGATGATGGCTGGTTTAACCCAGAGGAACTAGAGAACTTTTGCAAGGATATTCATTCATTCCAAGAGTATGTGTCACCTGCTGTGTTCATTTCCTGTTTGCTAATTTGTGATTGTAAATCTCATTGCACTTTTTTCACTTAATGCAGGAATCGGAATAACAAAATTGCAGAGTAGGATATACAGCAAAGATGGTGCCAAGTATATAAATTGGTAGGTGTCGGCGCAAAAATGTGGCGATGCGCCTGACACGCTGTAAGCCGGACGATCTGAGCGGAGTCAGCCCGGAGATCTGCTTGGCTTCAACAAAGGATCGGTTGATCCTGAAAATCCCGAAAACGTGCCAGTCAATTTGATCTGCAATTGACAAGGAGAGAAAGTTTTATCAGTAATTTAAGGTGGAACATACCGGTATTGACCAGATAGTTCCAAGTATACTGCTTTGAGAGCAACCAAACAGTGGAATCGACTATATAGCCGATACGAGGAGAAATCAACTGTTAAGGGCTATGATACTCGTGGGTCATGATTGATTTATGATAACAAGTACAATACATTTAGATATAAGTAATATAAAGAAACATCATCAGCTAGATGGATATAACTAGTGTAAAGCATTAAGTCGATAAGTTTAACGAGAAAAGATATATCATGTGAACAAATCGACTGTCTAGTACAAATAAATCTACAAACCTCTGAATCTAATTTGTTACCATCAACAGTGAGGTTCGATCGGATCGATACAGCTATAATAATGATAATAAACTAAAGCCAAATAATCCATACAGTCATCTATATATTGACAGGTTTATAAAAAAAACATGCTATATGTGTGAAGGCACAAGTGAATTGGCTAAAATAGTCTATGCATGCATATCAAACAAACAGAGTACATATCTCGATTATAAACAAAACCACTAATCGCTAATCTCTAATCTTAAGTCTTACCAAAGGAGGTTCGATTGATCGATAATGGTAGTGTCATTAGATTAGATCTCATTAACTAGTGAGTTTATCCAAGATCGAAACATGTCTTTGAATGCATAATGTGCTTAATTGGAATATAGATAAAACAGTTGATCTAACGAATTAAGCTGTCAATTATGAGATTTAAAGTGTGAGCAGACGAGAAGAATATCAATTATGATGATATGATGCCGATCTATCTCTATCTTAATCAGGTGATTTGTTATGATTAATGGAACATTAATTATAACAAGATCGATAACTGGTGAATCAACCAAAAACAGCAAGAAAAATCTTACTAATCTTAACAGATTCGATAATTGGTGATATTATATTGAACAAGTTATTTAACACAAGATCGGTAACTTTGATCTATATTATGATTCGTAAGAGATCAATCACCGATATGATACAAGCCGTGATCAATCGGCTGATGCAGCTTTACAAGTATGATACAAGTCGTGATGGTACTCACAGACAAGCCAGAGGTCGATCAGTCGATGTAGCCCTGCTTGTTGAAGACTCGTCGAGATCTACAGTACTCCTACTCCTAAGGGTTGGTGTGAAGCAGAAAAAGTGATTGTATTGATTGATTGTTTCTTTTTTTACAATAGCCAGGGTCCAATATTTATACCCGGAATTTAAACATGAATCCTACTCAAACATGACTCATTACAATTCTTGGAATAAAAGAAAATATTTCTAACTTAAAATAACTTAGACCATAATCTTTTCTTTTTGTAGAGTCCGACATATTTTCCCCGATGCCGTCCGTACGTAGTCTATTGACGTTGTCTGCTGATGTCATCTACAAAATAGCCGATTATGACACTGCATTAAAATCAGCAGACATCGAATCACATCTGATCGATTCCTTGATGATATAATCTTAGAAGTTTTGAGTTCCCACGTTTTTCTTTTTAAATTTAGATGTAAACACATGCCCCCCCAATTTTGGGATAAAATAATTTTATTCTAAAATTACCATGTCATTACCCCTGATGGGTCCGTAGTCACGGGTAGAAAACCTTGATCTGGGACCTACTATCTGCCATCCAACGTCCTCGCCTGCTTATGAGCCCACACTTCAAAGTTTCACAAGAGCACTATTGCTTCACGGGCATTTGGATTCATTCTTCCAGACCGACTATAAATGCCTATTTGACTCTGGCGAGGGCAACCCAACAACTCAGTTATGTTTCTCTTCTGCTTGGCTCCTCGAGTGCCCTTAACTTTGCTAGACCCTCCATGGTCTATTCCCTTACTATGGGGATCTTTAGTGGTTAGAAGAATTCTTATGCATAGAGTGATTATGTCGCTCATTTTAGCGCCTTGTTGAGCAAGAGAACCAGTTGCTACGGTTAGAAGAATTCTTGTGATATCACCTGAGTTTTCTCACCATCAGCACAGAGTTGTTCTAGTGTTTGCAAGGGTTCAAATGTGTGGACACCTTCCCCTTGTTCGCTCTATCAAATGCCCATGCCGAGAAATCGGTGGGATATATGGGCATCCACTTAACAGGCCACTCTATTTTCTCTCCTAATGCTACTTCCATCATTTGGCTGATATGACTTGGTCCATGATGCCTTTCGGCCTTGTGGGGATTCGGACTCCCTTCAATCCAATGAAGTCCTAGTGGGTCGAATGTCGGTTAATGTAAACCTTTTGTATTAATCCCACGGTATATGTAATTATGGGAAGCAATAAGCCTGAATCCGTTGTGCTTCCGTGAACCGTTCCCTGAATTTCTGGAGTGTTGATCCGTTTCCATAACCGACTTCAATCCCATAACCCCGACAAAGTCTATCTTCTCATCTCCCGGGCTATATATGTGGGCCATGGCTATGGATCGAAAAACCAATCTGCTTCATCCCAAACTTTCTGCGTCTTTGGTGTGATTTGCTTTCTGATAGGCTCGATGATATGGAGAATGGCAAGAGGTCTGTTGAAGAGGCTCTTGACGAGTCTGTGCCACCACATCAGCGTCTTCGTCGCCAGGAGTAAGGATGATCGCTGTCCTACAACCCCTCTCGTTTAGATTGATCTGATCTTTTCGTCTGCAGAGCTAACCCAAACTATGGTCTACTTCCTGGTACAATTCATGGCCCCGGCGGCACGCGAGTGGTAGTCCTAGTGGGGCCTTCAATCGTACCTGCCAATCCTCATGGTGACATCGTTTGCCGGCTCCTTCAAGAGAGGGATGAGGCTCGAGCTTAGTACTCCAGTGCAACCCGTGATCTTGGATGGATGGACTTTCATCTGAACGCACTGTAGAATGCTCTCACCATCTCAGAACATACAACCAACTCCACTCAAGCGAGGTTGGCCGAGGCCAGGCTAGAATCATGAGTGAGATATCCACCACAATTGTCTATTGTTTTAGTTTTTGTCTTCAAGATCTTCATTATCCCTTCTTTGAATCCTTTCAGACCTATCGGCCTAGTTGGAAAGCCTTCGATCAGCTGTAGAGTATGCGACAGGATCTATCAATGCCAAGGGCGTCGTGCTGGTGGTTCGTCTGTACGATGTCCCAAACCGCGTTAGAGAAGTTGCCCTTCACGGTGTTCATCATGGCGCTGCCATGGCATTGGCTGTTGCGCAAGCTTCGCTCTGGTCACGAGCTTTGACTTCTTCCCCATGGTTTCCCAGCCACTGACCATCCTGAGGACCATGAGTGCCTGGTCAAAGACTTCTTCAACACTGCCAACTCCATAGCCCTTGCTTCCTAGGCCGAAGACATTGTGAACAAAGTGTTCTCCGGCTCTTAGTTTGTAATAGGAGAAGCAAGCAAATAATCTTTTCATTTTAAGTGACTTCCCTTTTTGCCCTAGCCTCATGTTTTGCAAAAGCATGAAGCCAATCACAATCAAAACTTTGTAATCATCGGCTGTTAAGCTCTTCCAACTTCTAATATGCGGCAATTCAGCTCTAATTTTTCCAAGGAGGAACGGTTGCATGCCCACACACCAGTTTGTAAGGAGAGCAGTTATCCGGCCCGTTGTATGTCTCCTCGAGGCTCAGTAGAATAGCCGTTTCAGATTAGCCGATTTTGATTCCTGATTTGATCTGACTTGATTAAATCTGAAAATAGCTCTCATGGTAAAACCTTTCAAATTCCTTCTTGGTCATCAATCACCGCATTTTTTCTCGGTACTGGCAGAATGGCGCTTCCTCTTTCATTAATTAGGCTTGCCTTTGCATATTCCAAGATACCGACCATCCCGTCTCCGTGGCTATAAATACCAGCCAAGCGCTCCAGCTTCAAACACATCTACACTTGCAACCGCCTCTGTTCTCTACGCTTCTCCGCCTTCACAAACCTTGTAGCAGTTCCCTTCTCCCTCCACGATATAGACCAGCACCCATGGCAAGAGAAGATCATCGCGGCAAGCGCATAGCGGAAGATCTCCCGGAGGAGGAGATCCCGGTCGGCCAGTGACTCTGCCGCATGAGGTAAGACTGAATACTCCCGTACATAGCAAGAATCATCTATTAATGCATCTTCAGGTTTGTCCTCAATGACAGACTTCCTACTACTCATGGGGCCGGCGAGCCTTCTGCCGCCGCGTCTACTGCTGCCGCGCCGGATTCGTCATCGGACTCCTTCAACTCCTGCAATGACAATGATGCCCGGCATTTCCTCTAGGAGTGGAGGGTGGCCTAGGACCGTTACTCTGAGGCAACTCGGGAGAACGGTCAGCTTGTGATTCGCCTTGGGGCCTCTCAAGCCGCCCTCCTCGCCGTCGAGGAAGAGGCCAGCGCTACTTGGGCGTGGCTAGCCGAGTCCGACGCCATGGTGGCGGGTAAGATGAACTCCAAGAAAACCCTTATTTCAATTTCCACTATCTTTAACTTGATAGCAACTGTGTTTCTGTGATTGCCAGCCCTGACGGTGCAGTTGGAGAACCTTCAACTGGCGGCGAACGCAGCTATGGTGGTCGTCAATGCCCGGGGCCCTTTCCTCAACAACTGCCTGCACGATGTCGTGGCACATGTCCAGGAGATCGCCCTCCACGACGTTCATCGCGGCGCAGCGGTGGCCCTGGCCGTAGCGCAGGTCCAGACCGGGCATGATTTTCGCACCATGGAGCCAGGCTTCCTAATGGCCGATGACCTCGACATGCACGAGGACCTAATCGAGGACTTTGAAGACGCCACAGCGGCCATCGTGGACCTCACCTCAGCCCAGGACGTTATAAATGCGGTGTTTG